ACAGAATTGATGTAACTAGTATACAAATAGAATAGACAGCTCTCTCAGAAAACACAGAATTGATGTAACTAGTATACAAATAGAATAGACAGCTCTCACAGAAAACACAGAATTGATGTAACTAGTATACAAATAGAATAGACAACTGTTTCAGGACACACAGAATGGATGTAACTAGTATACAAATAGAATAGACAGCTCTCTCAGAAAACACAGAATTGATGTAACTAGTATACAAATAGAATAGACAGCTCTCTCAGAAAACACAGAATTGATGTAACTAGTATACAAATAGAATAGACAGCTCTCTCAGAAAACACAGAATTGATGTAACTAGTATACAAATAGAATAGACAACTGTTTCAGGACACACAGAATGGATGTAACTAGTATACAAATAGAATAGAAAGCTGTCTCAGAAAACACAGAATTGATGTAACTAGTATACAAATAGAATAGAAAGCTGTCTCAGAAAACACAGAATTGATGTAACTAGTATACAAATAGAATAAACAGCTCTCTCAGAAAACACAGAATTCTAGTTACATCAGTTCTGTGTTTTCTGAGATAACTGTCTATTCTATTTGTATACTAGTTACATCCATTCTGTGTTTTCTGAGAGAGCTGTCTATTCTATTTATATACTAGTTACACCAATTCTGTGTTTTCTGATGTAGCTGTCAATTCTATTTGTATACTAGTTACATCAGTTCTATGTTTTCTGTGAGAGCTGTCTATTCTATTTGTATACTAGATACATCAATTCTGTGTTTTCTGAGATAACTGTCTATTCCATTTGTATACTGGTTACATCAATTCTGTGTTTTCTGATGTAGCTGCCTATTCTATTTGTATGCTAGTTACATCAGTTCTGTGTTTTCTGAGATAACTGTCTATTCTATTTGTATTCTAGTTACATCAAAGTTCTGTGTTTTCTGATGTAGCTGTCAATTCTATTTGTATACCAGTTACATCAGTTCTATGTTTTCTGTGAGAGCTGTCTATTCTATTTGTATACTAGTTACATCAATTCTGTGTTTTCTGAGAGAGCTGTTTATTCTATTTGTATACTAGATACATCAATTTTGTGTTTTCTGAGATAACTGTCTATTCTATTTGTATACTAGTTACATCAATTCTGTGTTTTATGAGATAACTGTCTATTCTATTTGTATACTAGTTACATCAGTTCTGTGTTTTATGAGATAACTGTCTATTCTATTTGTATGTTTTCTGAGATAACTGTCTATTCTATTTGTATACTAGTTACATCAGTTCTATGTTTTCTGAGATAACTGTCTATTCTATTTGTATACTAGTTACATCCATTCTGTGTTTTCTGAGATAACTGTCTATTCTATTTGTATACTAGTTACATCAGTTCTGTGTTTTCTGAGATAACTGTCTATTCTATTTGTATACTAGTTACATCAATTCTGTGTTTTCTGTGAGAGCTGTCTATTCTATTTGTATACTAGTTACATCTAGAATGGATGTAACTAGTATACAAATAGAATAGTCAGCTCTCACAGAAAACACAGAATTGATGTAACTAGTTTACAAATAGAATAGACAGCTACATCAGAAAACATAGAAATGATGTAACTAGTATACAAATAGAATAGACAGCTCTCACAGAAAACATAGAACTGATGTAACTAGTATACAAATAGAATAGACAGTTATCTCATAAAACACAGAATTGATGTAACTAGTATACAAATAGAATAGTCAGTTATCTCAGAAAACACAGAACTGATGTAACTAGTTTACAAATAGAATAGACAGCTACATCAGAAAACATAGAACTGATGTAACTAGAATACAAATAGAATAGACAGCTACATCAGAAAACATAGAACTGATGTAACTAGTATACAAATAGAATAGACAGCTCTCACAGAAAACATAGAACTGATGTAACTAGTATACAAATAGAATAGACAGCTCTCACAGAAAACATAGAACTGATGTAACTAGTATACAAATAGAATAGACAGTTATCTCATAAAACACAGAATTGATGTAACTAGTATACAAATAGAATAGTCAGTTATTTCAGAAAACACAGAACTGATGTAACTAGTTTACAAATAGAATAGACAGCTACATCAGAAAACATAGAACTGATGTAACTAGTATACAAATAGAAGAGACAGTTATCTCAGAAAACACAGAACTGATGTAACTAGTATACAAATAGAATAGACAGTTATCTCAGAACTGATATTTGTAGTGTATAAAAAGAATTGACTGTGAAAGTAATTAACTATTTGTGGTTTAATGAAATGTTTATGGAATAGGCACAGAAGTTACTTGTACGTATCCTATCTTTTATGTGAGGCATCTGAAATTAATAAAGACCTCAAGTAATGAAGATCTTTACAAAAAGCTACCTGTTCTGAAAGTAAGATAAATATAAGAAACATTCTGTTGACTGGTGTTTGAAGAATGTTAATGAAGCTTTACCTAAGATATTTCTCAACATAATTCAAACATTTTCATAATATTTTAATTTGTACTTACGAAGGTAATTTTATTTATTCATATCCCATCATAAGTTTATGTGACTTTACTAGATCTCACTGGGGAGGTTCCAGGTCCTGATGATCTTGCAATTATAATGTATACAAGTGGTTCAACAGGGGTTCCAAAAGGTAGGAAGAATACGTACCTCATAGGCTTCAGTTGTTATTGTTAGATACAGAATGACATATATATTGTTTACCACAAAATGTAAATTTATATAAGATGTTATTAAATATTAGTTGTCCATACAATGCATTCAGTCCATTATAATATATAGATATACATTCAGTGTTTAGAAAATGGATGTAAACATTCAGCTCTTTACAAAATGTAGATGTTAAAGATGTGGTTATACATCAATATGATAAAGAGTATTGTATTGTGAAGCTATGATACGATTGTATCGATACATCTGATATGATACGAGTTATATATATTCAAAAATTTGGCAAGCTTTTGGTAAACATTGGAAGTCTTTTGTACAGAAAAAATCAGAATTTCTAATAAAGTATTTTTGCTAAAAATTAATGATTCAGTAAAGGAAATTGAGTATATAGTCATATAGTCTTCATTTCTTTTATCAAA